AAGTCACTTTGTTCCCTCAACTTGTGTGTTCTCCCGCTAACTCTTCCCACATATGTATTAGGAAATGCTAACGAATTTGTCCTTTGGGCTTTTTCATGAAAGGCTTGGCGCATGCAGCTTCCCCCGGGCCAAGGTGGTGTCTTCTCAGCAAGTCGGCTTCTAGAGAGCAGGCATCTGAGCAGCCACCAGAGTCTCCATCATCTGTTTGTCATCTGGAGCTGGCCGGAAACAACTGAGGAAACGTGGGCCGAGGCCCAGTCAGGACTGGGGCAGGAAGGTGCTCCGCAAACATCCTCTGTTATTAACCTTCTGGAAGGCTGCTGGCAGTTTTTCCTTTTTTCCCACTACCCTGCCCTTTTTAATAATTGTACATAATCAGTAGATTTGTTTTACCCGCTCATCCTCTAAACTGGTGGGCCCTGTAGTTCATTCTAATTGTTAGATTTTTGCCTCTTACCAGTGTACCTAACCTGCAATAAACCCTTCTTGAGAAAAAATGCTGGGGGTGAGCAAAGGATTGTGTGGTGGTGTCTTGTGGGGGATGTGTGATCAGAGCACACCTCCTTGCCCCATGATCTGGCAGATGTACCCTTGTCTTTTTATAAATTTTGGGTGGGGAGGGGGAAGAGCACATGAAAATGCATCTTGGTCTAAGTGTATTTGGTAACAGGTGCAGAAACCCACAACAAAAGCTCAGGAATAAATAGGGATTATTAGCACACAGCGGAGGAATCCTGTGGAACCAACGGTAGGAAGGTCAGGCTTTATAGGAAATGGGGAGTCAGGGCAGCTGTTCCCGTGTCTCCTGTCACTGTCTCTGACTCAGAGGCTGTGCGGTCTGCTGTCAGCTGCTTTGGGTGCATCTCAGCTCCTGGTTTCTGTTCTCTCCTAATGCCTGCTCGCCTACAGCTCTGGTGTAGCCCGGTGCTGCTTCTGTCCCCAGCTTCTCGAGGCTGCCCAGATGTAGGCCTAGAGACCATCTCCTTCAGCCCTGGATCTCTTCATTCACACTGGTGAAGGATTGAGACCATGTGCCTGTTCCCAAGCACGCGATGATTTCTCCCTGGGCTGGTGCTGGCTCATGATTTGATCCAGAGGCCAGTTATAAAACACAGATGGGCTTCCCAGGCCCACAGCTGCAACAGGTACCAGCCTCAGGAGGAGGGCAGTTTCCCAAAAGCTGTGATGTACCGACCTAGACCCTCCTGCATGTCTCTGTCCTCACTGAGGAGTTCAAGAGCAAGCCTTTTCACAGCTTCCAGTGGAAATATTTTTGTTACTGGAAGGAAAGGTCTCATGTAAAGGGAAGAACACAGAAGTAGGGATGGAGCATGGCCTCTGGCAGTGATCAGAGTCTGAAACCTGAGCCCCTTCCAGGGACCGAAGTCCAAAGGCATTTGCTAACATCTTAAGAATGTAATTGCCAAGGCAGCGGTCACTGTCGCTAAGATGAAGGAGCATCTTCTGTTCTGCACGTGTTCCCGCCCTCTGCGCCCCCCTCATGTGGCCTGGGACTTGGGGGAGGAGGCCTGGATACAGGTAGTGGCATGAGCAGGTGTGATAGCATGGCCTAGCATTCCTTCTGGGATTCTCTTAATCCCACAGACCCCTCGAGTGACGTGTGCTGGTAAACGTGTGCTGGCAAACCAAGCAGTGAGGTGACAGGAAGTCACAGGATTGGTAGGGGACAGAGTCACCAGGCAACTTTAGGTTCTTCCATCTCAGTGCTCTTTGGAGGTTCCTATCCCCAGGACGGGGGTGGGATGTGGGCGGGCGGGGGGAGGCGACCAAGACCTGGATGTGAGTGGTCATCTAAGCAAGGATCCTTAATACAGGCTCTGACTCTATAGGCAAGTTGTTCATTTACCTGTGTGCTTAGAAAACATTTGTTGAGTTCTGTTCTCAGAATCCAGGTTAAATACAGGTATATAATTGCTAGGTTCCTCCACTCCTGCACAGTGAGAGTAGCCTGTCCTCGTTGGTTGTTCATTGCCTTACTCCAGCCAGGGGATCTGCAGCTATAGAAACTGACCTTTGAAGGGGTAGAAAAAGAGGAGTGCCTGCCGGGCTCGGCGCCTGGGCCACGAGTCAGGGCAGGTGTCTCTTTTTTCAAAAGGCTTGCCGTAATATGGAAATACATGGAATATATGGATTGAAAACATTTGGCAAAACTCCCCCCAAATATCTTCATGGATATGACTGTGAAATGGGAATTTGAAAACAGTGAGGACAGTTCAGCACAGACCGTGTGGAAAGAGAAAAGGGTGCCGATGCATGGTGCTGTGGAGAAAGTTCTGGAGCAGTGTGCTGCCTCCTGGAAACGCGGTGTCAAGTTCCCATTTTCTGGTGCCACATTGAAAAGGAATGGGTGAAATTAATTTTGTAGTATATTTGATTTAACTCAGTGTCTCTACAGTATTATTTGAACATGCAACCAATGTAAACAAAATCTTGGACATCTTTTTTTTTAATCGTTGAAATCTACTGTGCATTGGCATTTACAGCAAGTCTTTGCTTGGGATGGGCGCATTGTGAGTGGTCGGAGCCCACGCAGCCATGCCGGCCACTGCAGCTCTAAAGTAAAACCACGGCTCTCCGTCTTTGTTGCTCTTTTTTTGTTTTGTGTGTGCCTATGATGTGACTGACGGTGTAGAAAGAATGCTTCTCCAGCCTTTACATGGGATGGGCCGATTTAAAATGACTCAGCAGGTTAGAACGCAGATCCAGACCCACAGTGTGAAGTCAGGGTGTGAAGGGCTGCGGTTCTGCTGACTGCGTCCTGGACGCGTGGCGGGTCGTAGGAAAGATCAGGGTGCGGGGAGCTGCAGTGGTCAGCGCTCAGGAGGTGCCCCCAGAGCTCCTGGCATGTTAGCGTGACCTCACACTGCGCCAGGGCAAGGATGTGTGGAGCGTGGGCCAGGGAAGCCCAGTCCTCCCACGGGTGCAGATCTGTTCGGAGGCCTCGAGGTATGTGGCGCACATGAGCCAATGATGATCTGAGGGAGGGCAGCCAGGGTATGCAGGGCTCTGAAGCCCTGGTAGCCGAGGACTAGGGGGACACATAAAGGCACTAGGGAAACGAGAGGCACATCCTTAGATGTCTTGGCTGGTTAAAGACTTGTCCCACAGCTGCGGGTGTAGACTCGCTTCTGCTTGCTCTGGATGGTGGTCGGAGGTTAGTAGGTAGGAGGCACAAAGGGTCAGGGGTGTGTGTAGAGTCTGAGACTCTATCAAATGGCAGCCCAGTGACAGAATTAGCTGCTTTCTGAAGGAGTGACAGTCTAGTCCTTGGAAACGCTTACTTGCTAAGGCATAACCACAGTTGTTTACGGCGTATTTACTTCATCCTGTATCATTTGAGCCACACCACATCCCTGAGAACGAGAGGTTAATGGCCGCATTCCACCAATGAGAAAACTCGGGAGGGTCAGGAGCTCATCCCGACTTGCTGGAGCTGGGACTTGCTGCTCCCGGTTCCCAGGGAGGCTGTCCTTCTACCTGGGCTGTCCACTAGGTGGTCAGAGATGCTTTAGATGGGTCGTCTGTGTCATAGGCAGAGGTGGGATACGATGGTGGAGACACCTGGTAAAGTGGTAGAAAACTGGGGATTGAGGAGGTCTGAGGGGTTATGGGGGCAGCGGGGAAGGGGGGGGGGGTTTCTGTTAAAGAGAGTAATTTCTCCAGAAGGAAGCTGGTGTGTGCATCTTAGTCTTGGCCAGCGGATGTGAAGTGGGCACTTTGTGATAAAGCCTTGAACTCAAAGACGGCTGTGGGAAGGTGCTGCCCTCACTGAATAACTGAGGGGAAGGAATGGGTGTATCTGGTACATAGCCATTTGCTTCTGCCCTGCCCTTTCCCAAACAGAACCCCCTCATTCATCATTCGGGATGGTGTGGTCAGGAAGGTTTCAACCTGTTGGGCTAAGTTTATTGGGTTGTGAGGGTTGGGCATCTGTGCAGAGGATGGAGTCGGGTCTGGGGAATGTCTTTCAAATTGTCCAAATTCAAAGCTGCAAAGCAGCCAGTTGCTTCCTGCCAGGTATGAGGAAATAACAGCTTGCCCAGCACACCCGCCCCCAACTTTGGTTTTGGCAAGGAAAAATATTCCTGAACTTGAGACAGGAATGTAATTCACTTCATGTTTCTGGCATATGACTGCCGAGGTGTCAGAATTCATAGCAACATTTGTGCATTGCCTTCTTCCCTTCTTGGAGAGCCTGGCTGTCTCCAGAAGACAGCTTGCCTGAAGGCCAGACCACGCTCAGTTTCATTAGAAAAATGTGATGTCCCTTGGTTTGAGCAATCTGCATTTTTGGTTCATAGCAGGGAAGGCTGGGAGTGATGTGTCAGTGTCATTAATAATGGGCTTGGGTTTTTAAATAGTGATCTTATGACTTTGGGGGACCTAAAATGTGTATCATGGACTCAACTCTTTAAATCTATACATAAATTTGATTCATAGATGAAAATACAAAAGCTGTTTTGCCCACATATCTGAGAGGAAATAAGAGAGACAAAAGAAAATTTAACAAATATTTTTTGTACTTTGTTACTGATTTGCTATTTTATGGTGTTTTCCCTTCCGTTTTACAGTGTAGGAAGTTTTTACAATTCTCAGCTTCCTTCTGCTACAAAAATGGGAGTAGTTAGGCTGGTTCCTCTCCTAGTTGAAGTAGAAAACTCTTCTTTTGGGTGCCTGGGTGCCTCAGCGGTTTAAAGCCTCTGCCTTCAGCTCAGGTCATGATCCCAGGGTCCTGGGATCGAGACCTGCATCGGGCTCTCTGCTCAACAGGGAGCCTGCTTCCTCCGCTCTCTCTGCCTGCCTCTCTGCCTACTTGTGATCTCTGTCAAATAAATAAATAAAATCTTAAAAAAAAAAAAGAAAAGAAAAAGAAAACTCTTCTTTCCCCAGTAGTGGGGCAGAGATAGCCAAGGAGAAATATTTGCTGATACACACAGTTTATGCAGGTTTTGAGATTCACGTCTCGTCCTCCTTGTTTCTTGTTTGTGAACACACTTTGGCCAAATGTGATGTCACATGATGAGGTGAGGCTGGGGGGCTGGCTGCTACTATATGATCTGTAATGTACCCCAGGAACCAGCCAAGCTTCTCCACCAATCTCAGTGGTAGGACTCTTCATCGCGTGCATGCAGAAGGAACCTGTGTCCTTTTGCATTGATGGAGGGTGAGCAGGGCAGTGCAGGAGAAGGACCAAACCAGGTCTATGATTTGTATGGCCAAGAGCTCTTGAAATCCTGTCCAGGAAAAAGCTATCAGGTACCTAGTGAAAATCTCTCCCCTAAAATTCCTGTCTTGGTAGATTTGTTGTCTGTCATTTTAATTCAGTTCTGTTTGCTGAAAAGGGTCTAAAGTGGAAGTGCTGTCTGGCTGAATGGGGGATTCCTGGCCATCTCCTGCAGACTTGACCCTCACCAGCTTTGCTACCCCACTGGCCATCTGACAGTTCGGGGGGTACACATGGCCCCGGGTGTGTGTGTGTGTCTGTCTGTCTTCCGGCCGCTGGCTCTCGGGCTCTGCTCCACTGTTGGAGCTGAATGGAGAAGGGCAGCCCCAGGTTCCAAGCTACCTCACGTCCTACATGCAGCTTCTTAGGGTTCCTGTCCAGGTCACTGTGAATCCTCTTGTCCTGTAGACTGATCAGTAGAACTCAATGTTTTAGGGGACAAGATCATTCCTTTTTATTGAATTAATGTATTAGAATATTTATTTATGGATATCTGGTGTCCTCTGGGGAGTAAGATTCTCATCTGAGAGGGACTCATCCATCAGTGTGTATCAGTGTGCCTGTCAAGTTTTCGTGTCCTATATTCGCTAAGCCTGTCTGCTTTCTCCCAGAGATCCAGTGTGCTGTTTCTTGAATTACAGAGCCTCGAGGACTTGATTGGTGGCATTTCAGTAAGAATCGATACTATCAGGGAGGAAAATCTGAATTCCTTGAGACAGTGCATTTTAAAATCAGCCGTAAATTACTGTATGTAGAGGGGACACAGCACACTTCCGAGCACAGCCACTTTCCGAGTGCGCCGCCCTGCCTCCCGTCTGCGTGGGTCATCCAGCTTAGTCCCAGACCACCACGGCCTTGACTCTTTTCCCCTTATTAGTTTAAATTTATTTGAAGAAATGTTTTGTGTGTGTGTGTGGTTTTCTTAAGTAGCTAACGTTGGTTAAAATAAGTCAATGCTGAATAAATCCTAATATGGTAAACAGATTCTGTCCTTAAGAAGCCCTTGTGTTGACACCAGCTATATTTGTTTTATGAGTAAAGGAATACATAAGTAAATAATATGTTACTTATGTTTTGGTTAATTTTCCATAGTTGTAAGTTTTAAAACACATAAAGGCATTGGAGGCACCAATTTTCTTCTTAGGCCCAAGAGGAAGCTGCTTTATTCATTTTGCTTTAAGCTTGTAAAAATGGGGTAATTCAAAGTATCAAATGCTTGGCATAGGATGTAGATATTCCTAATTCTACCATTTTCCCTAAACTTTCCAAAGTACAATATCAGGGGGTATCAGCAGTGAGGATGTTTAATTAATTTACCAGTAACTTGGGTTTTTCTTTGCTCTAAAATGTATATTCTCACATTTGACTTTTTTTTTCCTTAATGGTTTTATAAAACAGTGGTGGATCTTAGCTATAGATCTAGTGTTCTCATCAGCGTAAGTCTTGGCAAGACAGAGCTGTCTGGCCAAAGAAGACCCAGGTTCCTGTTTCAAGAAAGTCTCTTCTTGTTGGTTATTGTTCAAGATCTGGGACTACACCAGAGTTTGACATTTTCTTTGTGAAGAATTGTTTCATTAATGTTTTAAATTAGAAGTGAAAAGATATTCTGAAAAATTCAATTACAAATGCCATTTCATTTAATTTTTCTGTCAAACTGATTGTTCCATTCCAAATCTTTGCTTTTAGAGAAGAGCTGAATGTTGGAAAATAGGAGGGGACCCCTTTAGGTAAGTGAAAGAGAAAGAGATGGAATGCTGGTTTCAACTCGAAGTTCACAACTTACAAAGAATTTATTTATGCAATACAGACCTTTTCTCAAATATTTTTCACAGATTTCCACAGCAGTCTGCTAGAAAAGTAGAATTACACAACACCAAAATAACATGTTTCTTAATACAAACTGCTACTCAAAGGAAGGTGAAGATACTTAGTAACAAAGAGAAGGTCAGATGGGTGTTGCTTCCTACAGCACCTCATTGCCTCTGTTCTCAGACTGGGGTGGGGAGGGGAGCCCAGCTGATGGCTCTGCCTCAGTGCCCTAGGACAGTCAAACCTCTGGGGTGAGCTTTGGTTCTTAAATTCACTTTAAAAGAAAAACAAAGGTTGTGAGCCCACGAACCTTTCCATCATTTCATTTTGGTGTGCGATGAAGACAACATCTCAGGAAAATATTGTAAATAAAACATTGTAAATAAAACACTGTAAATACTTCACACTTGCTATAACATTAGATCCTTTATGTTAACCACACAATAAAAGAACCTCCCCCAAACCATCATTTTCTAGGTCTAAAGCATGCTTGAACAATATTGATAGAAATAATTCATTGAGATGTTTTAAATTACATTTACCATAATTTAAACATTACTATTTAAATCCCAGAAATTTCAGTGCTGAAGAAGCACGATTGCTTGGAAAAATACAGGACTCAAAGTACAGCATAAAATTCCCAATCCCAGTATTATAACTCATTTCCCTATTGTTAAAATCATGTATTTCTCAAGATTATAGATAAAGGGAAGTGGTTTTTCATAATATAGTTAGAATAAGTGGGTTTACTTGCTCCACTGTATGTTTCCATAATTGGTGAAAATAGACTTCTCATTATGACTAAAAATATAGATTTTTTTAAACTACAGAACCCAGCAGCCGATTTTCTGCTTTGCTATTCTCCCCCAAAAAAGTCAAGCAAAGTCTACAAAAATAGCAATTAACTTTAAAAAATATTTTGCTTCTTAGAGCAAATTTAAGTTACATTCACATGTGATAGCTATTTCTAAGAGAAAGCTGCTCCCGATCACTCCCCCCGCCGAGGCTGGGGGCCAGGCTGCCATGCAGCTGTCGCTGTCAGTAGCGGGTTTGGTATTCGTGATGCCACCGGTTGAAGTCGTTGTAAAACAGGACGATGCTTCCTGAGGCCATGCCAGAAATGATGCACCTGGGAGGACAGAGAAAATGACGGGTTTACAAATCTATTTATTTCCTAGGGTTCTGTTCCTAAAGAAAGAATGCCTTCCCTGAATCTAGGATACAACACTCAGCTCAGAATGCCGCCTCCAAAACTCCATGAAGATCCACAGCACAGCCTGCCTTTTTACTGAACGTGTTGCCAGCATGTGCACGAGGAGTCCCTAACACCTGCTAGACTTGGTCATTTCTGAGCAGGGGTGCTGGGCTGGTGAGCCCTGGCTTTTATTTTCATATACATAAAATTGAAGTCTAGTCGCCATGCGATGATACGCTAGTTTCAGAGGTACAACATGATTCTACAACTCTGTCCATTGCCTGTGTTCTCAAGTGTAGCTCCCATCTGTCACCATGTGATGCCAGCACCATACCACTGTCTACTCCCTCTGCTGTGCCTTTCCCCTTTTATATGAGGTACCAAGTACTTGGTGGGGGAAGCAGCACACAAGTGTTGACCACAGTTTGGGCTGAGCTCTGCAGAAGGTCTGGGCGGGGGGAACTCACTGAAAGGACCACTAAAGACGAGCTGCTGCTGTGTGCTCTCCTGTCCCCGAGAATGTGGCGCAGGGGAAACTTGCAGAGCAGTGAGATGAACAATTTAGAGGAGTTTGTTGTCTTAGGCCTCGCTCTGAGTGGTCTGGTAGGACCAGTCTTTATGTCATTTTTGGTATCCTTCCTACTACTTCATATCTAAATTAGGAACTAAGATGTGCCACTATGAAAAAAAAAATACCACAAAGAAGGCAGTAAGGAGGCAATGACAGACAAAAAATCCTCTAAGACACATAGAAAACAAATAGTAAAATGGCAAAAGTAAGTCTTATTGGTAATTAACTGTAAAGGCATTGAACTCTCCAATCAAGAGACAGTGGAGCAGTGGATAAAAAATGTGACCGAACTATATGCTGTCTGTAAGAGAGTCGCTTTGGATCTGAAGACAAAGGCTGAAAGTGACAGGTTGGAAGAAGATGTTCCGCGCAAATAGTAACGAGACAGCTGAAGCGGCAGTTACTACAATCAGACCAAGCAGGCTGAACTCATCATCTGTTAGGAGATGAGACAAGGAAGGACACTCTTTGTCAGTTAAAAGGTCAATTTATCAAGAAGATACAGCAAGTACAGGCAGACCTTGGAGATCCTGTGTTGGTTCTAGATCACTGCAATAAAGTCAATGAATTTTTAGTTTCCCAGTGGATGTAAAAGTTATGTGTATATTTACACTGTAGTCTCTTACCTGTGCAATAGCATGTCTAAAGAAATGTACATAGCTTAATTAAAAAGACTTTATTGCTCAAAACTGCTAACCATCACCCGAGCTTTCTCCAAGTTGTAATCACAGATGGCCATAAAAAATAGAATGAAAAAGTTTGAAATATTGTGAAAATTATCAAAGGTGACAGACGAGCAAATACTGTTGGAAAAATGGCAGACTTTCTCAACACAGGGTTGCCACAAAATTTAGTTTGTAAAAACACTATCCGCAAAGCAATAAAGTCTGCCTGTACAAACATAAATGCACCAAGTATCAGAGCCCCCAAATTCTATGGAGCCCAAACTGACAGAATGGAAGGGAAAAACAGTTCTACAGTAGTAGTTGCAGATCTCAGTACCCCACTTTCAATAGTGGATAAATCACCAGAAGGAAATAGAGAACCTAAAGAATGCTAAAGACCAAGGGGACAGGGGTGGCTGGCTGGCTCAGTTGGTTAAGTGTCTGCCTTTAGCTCAGGTCGTGATCCCAGGGTCCTGGGATCAAGCCCTGAGTCAGGGCTCCCTGCTCTGTGGGGAGTCTGCTTCTCCCTCTCCCTCTGTGTGCTCTCGTGCTCTCTCAAATAAATAACTCTTTAAAAAACAAAACAAAAACACAGAGTGGACCTGGGGCACCTGACTGGCTCAGTCAGTAGAACATGCAACTCCTGGTCCCGGAGTTGTGAGTTTCAGTCCCATTCTGGGTGTAGAGATTACTTTAAAATAAGATCTACTTAGGGGCACCTGGGTGGCTCAGTGGGTTAAGCATCTGCCTTTGGCTCAGGTCATGATCTCAGGGTTTCTGGATTGAGCAAGGATCCTGCTTCTCCTTTTGCCTCTCCCCATGGCTTGTGCTCTCCCTCTCTTTCTTTCTCTCAAAAATAAATAACACATAATATCAAACACTCACCCAACAACAGCAGAATAGACATTTTTCTCAAGTGCTCATGGAGCATTCTCCAGAATAAACCATGTTAGGCAACAAAACTTGTTTTAATAAATTTGAAAGTCATACAAAGTATCTTTTCTGATCAAACAGAATTAGAAATTAATAACAGAAGGAAAACTGGAAAATTCACAAATATATAGAAATTAAGCAACCAATGAGTCAAAGAAATCTGAACAGAAATTAAAAGACTCTGAGACAAATGAAAACAAACACAACAAACCAAAACTTAATGCAATGCTGAAGGAAATTTATAACTATAAATACATACATTAAAAAAAGATCTAAATTAGTAACCTAATTCTATACCTTGAAGTAGAAAAAGCAAACTAAACTCAAAGCTAACAGAAGGAAGGAAATAATAAAGAGTAGGGATAAAATAGAGGATAGAAAAAAATGGGAGAAAAATCAAGAAAACCAAGAACTGGTTTTGGAAAAGGTTACCAAATTGACAAACTTTTGGCTAGACTAAGTAAAAAGAGAAGACTCAAACTGCTAAAATCATAGAGATGTTACTGCCAATTTTATGAAACAAATGATTATGAGAGAATGCTAGGAACAATTGTGTATGCCAACAAATTAGGTCAAATAGAATAGATGAAATGGGAAAATTCTTTTTCATTGTTGTTTTTTTGAAGATTTTAGCAGCACTTGGGTGGCTCAGTTGGTTAAGTGTCTGCCTTTGGCTCAGGTCATGATCCTGGAGTCCTGGGTTCGAGCCCCATGTTGGGCTCCCTGCTCAATGGGGAGTCCGCTTCTCCCTCTCCCACTGCCCCTCCCCACACTCATGCTCTCTTCTCACTCAAATAAATAAAATCTTTAAAAATAAATAGATTTTAAGAAATCTCTATACCCAGCTTGGGGTCTGAACTCATAACCCTGAGATTAAGAGTTGCATACTCCACCAACTGAGCCAGCCAGGAGCCCCTGAAATGGAACAATTGTTAAAAACACAAACTATACCAAAACTGAATCATGCAAAAATAGAAAATATGAATAGACTTATAACTACTAAGGAGACTGAATGAATAATCAAAAGCCTTCCAATAAAGAAAAGCCCTGGACTAGATGGCTTCAATGGTGAATTCTATCAACATTTAAAGAAGGATTAACACTAACTCTTACTCCTCTTAAAAAAAAAAAACAAAAAAAAAAACAAAAAAAAAAAACAAAAACTAAAGAAAACAGTTCCTAAGTGTTTTCCTAAGAAATGACTTCCTAAGTCGTTCAAGTGAGGCCAGTGTTACCCAGAGAGACACATAAGAAGTGAAAATTACAGACCAATATCCCTTATAAATACTGCTACAAAAGTGTTCAACAAGTTTTAGCAAACCTAATTCAGGCACATATTAAAAGGATTATACACTGTGACCAAGATGGGTTTATTCTTGGAATGCAGCAAAGATTCAACATACAAAAATCAATGAAACCCATCATATTAGCAGAACTAAGAAAAACCTACATAATCACCTCAATTGATGAACAAGAAGTAGTTCACAAAATTCAACATGCTTTTATGATAGTACTCAAACTAGGAATAGATGGTAATTACCTAAACATGATAAAGGGAATTTATGAAAAACCCACAGCTAATATCATACTCAATGGTGAAAAACTAAAAGCTTTTCTTCTATTATCAGAAATAAGACAAAAATAAACACTTTTACCAGTTCAATATGGTACTGGGATTCCTAACCAGAGCAATTAGGCAAGACAAAGAAATAAAAAACACTCAAACTGGAAAGTTCGAAGTAAAATTATTTCAGTTACAGATGACATGACCTAATAAGTAGAAAATCCTAAGTATTCCACAAAAACCTGTTAGAATTAATTAATTCAACAAAGTTGCAAGATATAAAAACAATGCAAAAATAAGTTGCATTTCTGTACATGCACAATGAAAAAATCTGAAAAGGAAATTAAGAACAATTCCATTTACAATAGCAATGAAATGAATAAAATACTCAAAAATAAATTTAATCAAGGAGGTGAAAGACTTCTATATTAAAAACTATAAAATGCTGCTGAAAGAGATTAAAGAAAACAAATAAATGGAAAGACATCTGTGTTCATAGACTAGAAGATTTGATACTGTTAAAATGACAACAGTAGCCAAAGCAATCAACACATTCAACCCAATTCCTATCAAAATTCCTACCCTCCACTTTTTTTTTTGCAAAAATAGAGAAACCCATCTTAAAATTCATAATGGCTTCTCAAGGAACCCCAAATAGCCAAAAACAATCATGAAGAAGAAAAAAAAAAAAGAATAAAAAGCAGATGTCTTGTACTTCATGAATTCAAAACTCCCCACAAAGCTATAGTAATCAAAACAGTTTGGTACTGGCATTCAGACCAGTGGAATAGAGAACCCGGAAATAAACTCACATATATGGTCAAATGATTTTTGATAACTGTCAAGACCATCCAGTGGGGAAAGGAGAGACTTTTCAACAAATAGTTTTCGGAAAACTGATACCCACATGCCAAAGAATAAAACTGGATCCTTAAAAATGGATCAAAAACTAAATAAAGGGGTGCCTGGGTGGCTCAGTTGTTAAGCATCTGCCTTCAGCTCAGGTCATGATCCCAGGGACCTGGGATTGAGCCCCACATCAGGCTCCCTGATCAGTGGGAAGCCTGCTTCTCCTTCTCCCACTCCCCCTGCTTGTGTTCCCTCTCCTGCTGTGTCTCTGTCAAATAAACAAACAAACTTAAAAAAAAAAAAACAAAAAAAACCCCACAAACATAAGTGTTACAACTCAAACTCATAGGGGAAAAGCTTCATGACAATGGATTTTGCAGTGATTTCTTAGATACACTAGAAGCATTTGCAACAACAGTAAAAAAAAAAAAAAGTCATCA